CCCCTTATTGAGCTCCCTCTGACTGGTCATCAGGCTCGTATGTGCCTGGACAAGAGCTATGAGCCCATCGATCCCTCTAGCCTGGTTGGATGCAGACCGCCTGGTCTACACCGTTTTGCTGGGAATGGAGCCGTGCCCTGTGGCCCTTGGGGCAGACGGAACTTTCAGACTGGTTCCTCCGCTTTTAGGCAAAGGGCGTTCCTGGGGCTGTTCCAGAACAATGCTCTATTCAAATATTTAACAAATAATAAGGAACCCTTTAGAGCAGTGGTTCCCAACCTTTCTTTGGCCATGCCCCACCTAAGCACCTTGAAAATCCTGATGTGTCCTCCCCCAACCCCCCCATGTAATTCTTATTCTTCAAAAAGTGAACTCGTATTCATGAGGAAGCCTAAAAGACCATTGACTTGGTCTAAACAAGCTTCCAAAAGGACATGGCATCCATGAGAGAGAAAAATAAAAGGACGAAAGGACAGCTGAAGTACTGAGAAAGAAGACATCACTAAGAAATCATTAAAAAATATGAAGTGATATGAAAAAAACAGCAAATAAAGTTTCAAAACATAGACTAGAGAACTGAAATGCATAAATATGTCACCGTATATCTTTATAGACTGTATTTGAGGCCCCTGGAACCATAAGAAATGCAAAAAATTCACTGTTAAGAATTCATTCTCAAATTGCCCCCCTTAAAAATCAAGTTGCCCCCCTGTGGGGTGTGTGCCCCACGTTGGGAACCACTGCTTTAGAGATACCACTGAGACCACTAAAAAAGCCTGACGTATTTTGTGTTAGTCAACGTGGCCCCCAAAAGCTAATCTATTTGTTGAGTCAAAATAGCACACGTTAATTTTACTTCTGAAACTTGGAAGGAACTCCATTCACCAATAATGATAATTCCAACTTTTTTGGATCACATTTGCTTTCCACATCCTCAAATCCCTTTAGGTTATGACTTCTTTTTCCCTAGACTCTGGTCTATTTTTTTTTTTTTTTTTTGCCATCCTTTTTCTCACTCACGGACACCCACATATTTTGTTGATTCTGTCCTGTTTTCACCTTCCCCTTTCATATCTTGATTCAGCTTCTTAATAAAACTCCTACAGTTCCTTTAAATCTTTTTTCATCAATTAACCCATTCCATGGTGCTTCAAGTGCCCCAAATCTATTCCTCCACCCAAAATTATGTATGACACGTATAAAGCACCTAGAGCCCAGCCAGCATAGCTCAGTGGTTGAGCGTCGACCTATGAACCACAAGGTCACGGTTCGATTCCCGGTCGGGGTAGATGCCTGGATTACAGGCTCGATCCTAGGTATGGGGCGTGCAGGAGGCAGCTGATCAATGATTCTCTCTCATCGATGTTTCTATCTCTCCCTCTCCCTTCCTCTCTGAAATCAATAAAAATATATTTTAAAAAACCCCCAAAGCACTTAGAAACAGTGCCTGGCACATAGTAAGTGCTCATTAAATGGCAGTTGATACTGTTATCTTTGTTGGTTTACTGATGTAATGAAAAGAGTTGTGGAAAGGGAGTCAGAAAAATTTGGTGTTAATCTCACACACACACACACACACACACACACACACACGGCATGTCAGAAGACAGCTCCCTGGACTTTGCTCATTTCTACTACTTTTGCCCCTGGAGGTATCTCTCAAATGTCCTCTGACCCAGTCCCGGGATGCACATTCCTCGAAAGAGAAAGGGCTATTGGATATTGACACCCTCTTGAGAGTCAAGTGAAAGAGGCTGGGTTATTTATGTATTATGTAAAAAAATATATTTTATTGATTTCAGAGAGGAAGGGAGAGGGAGCGAGAGACAGAAACATCAATGATGAGAGAGAATCATTGATCGGCTGCCTCCTGCACGCCCCCTACTGGGGATCAAGCCTGCAACCCAGGCATGGGCCCTTGACCGGGAATCGAACCGTGACCTCCTGGGTTCATAGGTGGACGCTCAACCACGGAGTCATTCCGGTCAGGCAAGGCTGCGTTATTTAACTTCGGCTCATGTGTGGAGTGAAGGATGCTAGTTCTAAGCCTGGGCATCAAGAGGCACACAGACTTCTATGTTCACCCTCTTTTGAGTCCTGACCCACCTTGTAAATAATGTGAATTACCCTGCTGGTATGGAGGGGAAATTGGCTCACGGGGAGAGACAGGTCCTAGAGTAGCGGTTCTCAACCTGTGGGCCGTGACTCCTTTGGGGGTCGAATGACCCTTTCACAGGGGTCGCCTAAGACCATCGGAAAACATATATCATTACATATTGTTTTTGTGATGAATCACTATGCCTTAATTCTGTCCAATTTGTAACAATGAAAACACATCCTGCCTATCAGATATTTACATGACAATTCATAACAGTAGCAACATTACGGTTATGAAGTAGCAACGAAAATAATTTTATGGTTGGGGGTCGCCACAACATGGGGAACTGTATGAAAGGGTCGCGGCATGAGGAAGGTTGAGAACCACTGGCACAGAGCATCGGCCTGTGGACCGAAGGGTCCCAGGTTTGATGCCAGTCAGGGGCACACACTTTGGTTGCAGGCTCCTTCCCGGGCCTGATCGGGACTCGTGCAGGAGGCAACCGATCGTTGTGTTTCTCTCACATCGATGTTTCTCTCTGTTTTTCCCTCTCTCTTCCATTCTCCCTAAAAATCAATGGAAAAAATATCCTCAGGTGAGGGCTAAAAAAATGTTTTTTGTTTTTTTTTCATGAAAATGAGATTGAGGTAAATGGAGTTACAAGGCCTGAGGTCCTAAGATAATAAAGAAAGTGGCAAAAGTTCTAACGTTACATTTTAGTAAGTTAAAGATACACATGATCTCTAGGATAACTAAAGCAATAATAAAAGAATGCTCAATCAAGGAGGGGGGATAATGAAATAGTAAAATAGCACCTAACCCAGAAAGGTAAGAAAGGAGAGAAAAAAAAATAGAGTAGTAGATTAAATATGAAATAGTCATATGGCAGATGTCAAACCCCAACATATCAGTGATCACATTAAAGGTAAAAGGAACACATACTCCAGTTCTAATTAAAAGACTCTGGATTAAAAAGATAGTCAACCTTATATTTACAAGAGGCGTATCTCGAGTAAGGGTATTGAAAGGTTGATAGTAAAATGATTTTTATTTTTATTTTTTTTAAATATATTTTATTTATTTTTTACAGAGAGGAAGGGAGAGGAATAGAGAGTTAGAAACATCGATGAGAGAGAAACATCGATCAGCTGCCTCCTGCAT